GTGGCACTACTAGGCACTGATGGGCACTAATGGGCATAGGTGAGTGGCACTGCTGGGCACTTGTGGGTGGCACTGATGATCAGAGCACTGATCATCATGGCCCTGATGATTGGTGCCAATCCGTCCTCTGACAATTGCCGGTTATCAACAGTACTTTCCTCACGCAACCCATAACCGGCAACTGCATTTACTCAGTGATCTGCTGTGTCATTGGACATGGCTGATCACGTGGTAAAAGGCCGCTGTGACTGGCCATTTACCACATCACATGATCAGCTCTGTCCGTAGGACACAGCGATCAAGGAGATTGCCGGGTGCGCACCGGAGGGCACGTTCTGGGAGGATGTCCTAAGAAGCCCTCCCAGAACTGGACAACCGCGCTGTAGCCGTCATTCAGCTATAGCGCGGTTGGCAAGTGGTTAAGGTGGTGACTAAACTCACCTAGTGCCTTATCTGCATTAACCACTTGCCCTGCTTTGGATTTACCCCCTTTCCTGACCAGGCCATTTTTCGCATTACGGCACTGCGTTACTTTAACTGACAATTGCGCGGGTCATGCAATGCTGCACCCAAATTAAATTTATGCACTTTTTTTCCCACGAATTGAGATTTATTTTCGGTGGTAATATATTGCCTGTGCTGTTTTTTATTTTTTGCGCTATAAAAAAAAAGCAAGACCGACAATTTTGAGAAAAAAAATTCGGCCAAAATGTATTCTGCTGCATGTGTTTGTTAAACAATATCCCAATAAGTGTAAATTAATTGGTTTACATGAAAGTTATAGCGTTTACAAATGGCAGTATAGAAACTGGAATTTTTTTTTTTTCTTACTAATAATGGTGGTGATCAGAGACTGTTAGCAAAACAAAGCAGCCCTCCTCCCCATCGGAGATCTTCGGTAATCACCAGGCGCAGGCAGATAATCACCGGCCGGTACCCGGTAATTGAAAGCCGCGGCCGTGAATGGCGGCAGGGGTAGGGCATGCGCGCCCCCTACCCGGAAATGCAAAATCACATATATATACATGATTCTGCGCACCCCTGCCACCCCATAGCAGTATATATATATATATAAAAAATATATATATAGGGCAGCGGGGAAGCAATTAAATTAGCCTTAGAACCTGTGTAATTTAATATGCAGGGGTGGACTGACCATTTGGAAACTCGGGCACTGCCAGAGGGCCCGGGGTCAGTAGGGGGCCCCATGAGATGCCCCTGGTACCTTTTTCATAGGCTTTTTTGAGTTTGGGCAAGGACACAGGGGCCCCCTGAGTTGTCAGCCCGCCCCTGTTAATATGTGTTCGGTTTTAAAGGGATGAGTTGGCAACCCTATTTTGAAGAGTTCCATAGGATTACATGGTCACACATTTTTCTTCTGCTTTTTTTTTTATAAACTCAAAAGCGGAACAAAAACAGATCAGTGTGAAAGCAGACTAAGCCATTCAGGACTGCAGCTGCACAATCACCCCCTCCATGTACAATTCACGGTTAATAGCCCAAACTATATTATATTCTAAAATGGAGGAGGGTTTAGACATTCCTTCAACACTGCAATTTCTACTTTCTATATTCCTCCAATGGGACTATAAGGGCAACAAATTCTGTACTACAATTAAAACTAATTTCTGTCTATTTTGTATACATTCTAAAACAAACATCATTTGTTTCAAACAAACAGTAATGGCCGAAAATTTGTACAAAGTACTGCATTGCAGCAAACCCAAATTTTTAACCCAAACAGGACTGTATACACATACATATATCTTAGGCCCTTTTCCCATGGGGTGGATTCTGTTGTGATCAGAGCTCATCAGAGTAGAGTGGGCGAATGACACATCCAAATCTGCTCAATATGAATGAACATGCGCAGAGGACTGGTGTCCATTTAGACCCAACTACCCTCCGATCCGATCCAATCTACATAAACAGAGGAAGATGGATGCCCTTTTGTTTTTTTTAGAGGTAGGTGCTTGTAAACAGACAAAGTTCCTTTTACAACTGCCTGTCCACAGGAATGCATGGACCTTTCAATCAGGTGCACCTGAAAAACTGACAGGTGGACCTGATCAGATCACCCATGTGAAAGAGGCATTAAGCCATTGATACATGGGTCGAATTCCGAAATAATTTTCTTTTGAGAATCTTTTATAAGAATGTTTGTTTGAATTTCGCACCATTAGAGGGCCACAACAACAGACAGTTTTTGAGTGACTATTGAATTTGAGTGATCGGACATGTCGGAAATGTTTTGAAAAATGAACTAATTTCTAATCAATGATGGAAGAATCGTGCTAGAAATATAATCGAAAAATAAATGAGCATGAGCTGACATGGAAATTAAAGAAATTCTTGGCCACAAAATTTCTTTTCTGTAGCAACATGACATAAAATTAAAGGCTTGGTTGGTCGAATTTTTAAATCAATGGTGGCACCTTCGGATTACAAAGTGCATGAAATTTCCAATTTTCTAAAGACAATTGTTTGGGCATTTGACCCATGTATGGCTGACTTTATGCTTCATCTCAGTCCAATCACTGGTAAAGAGGAAAGCTTAATCTAGCCGTACATGAGTCAAATTTCAAAATAATTTTCTTTCAAAAATATTTTCTAAGAATTTTCTTTCGAATTTCGCACCATTAGTGGGCCACAACAATGGCCAATTTTCGAGCAAACATCAAATTTGAGCGATTGGGCATGTTGGAAATTTTTTTGAAAAACTAACAAATTTTTAATCGATGATGGGAGTATGAGCTGTGACCTGGAAAGAAAAGAAAATTCTTGGCCATGAAAATTCTTTTCTGTAGCAACATGAGGCAAAATGAAAGGCTTGGTTGGTCGAATTTTGACACAAAACACACAAACATTCCAGCTTTCTAAAGAAAATTCATTCGGAATTTGACCCATGTATGGGCCGGCTTTAGCGATATTGGGTTGGATTGGGTAACCAAATGTGTTTTAATATCTTTATCTTTCTTAAGGGTAAGGGAAAGCCACTTTATTGGATGTACATGTACAGTTTTACCAACCAATCCTTAAAACTCCAGATGCCTTTTCTCTCTGTCTGTCAAGGCTCATATCTTCATCTCGGATCTTCATATGATTGCACAAAGATCACACAGACCAAATAAGACCAAGAGAAGCTTAGTTCGCAATGTTGGTTTCACAGCATCATAATTCAAGGTTGTGCATAGTATGAGCCTGTAGACCATAATGCTATGAAGATCTGAGATGAAGATATACAGTATGTAACATATTAAAAGAAAAATCAGAAAAAAATCTTTAAAGTCCCCCATAGGGTGACAGCCAAGGCCTCAATGGCGGCACGGGTAGGGCACGTATTTCTGTTATAGGGCGGAGCAGAAGCAGTTTAGTAACTCCACTTTTGTTGACAAAATCCGCCCAAAAAACAATCCCCTCTGGGTGATCAATCTACATTTCAAACATTTTAACAAACTTTGTTGCAGATTCCTGCCTGTTTCTGCTCTGAAGGAAGAGCTGTATGTTCCACAATGTTTTTGGATACTGATTCTGAATGGGAGTGACTAATTATTTTAATCAACTGGTGCACTTAGAGTGATGAGAAAAACTGCAGTGTCAGTATCCCTTAAAATGTGACAAACCCTTTGGGCTTATCTCACCAAAAAGTACATTTTTGTTACAGAGGACACTTAACCTCCCTTGTGGTAATCCCGAGTGTGGCTTGGGGTTAATTTTCAGTACCAAAAGCGGAAACCTGAACCACACTTGGGATTACACTGTAGTGTAACTTACCTTGTCCTGCAATCCCCCGATGTCCTGCTGTGTCCTCCAGCTGGTGCCGGCATCTGTCTTTCGGCCGATGCCGGTATCTGTCTTCCGGGTTCCCTTCCCTGTGAGCGTCGGTACCCAGGGGGGCAGAACTGGCGGGAGATTAAAAAAAGTAAAAACATGACACACAACACATTGTAATCTGTTAGGATTACATTACTGTATCAAACCATTTCAGCTCAGTTTTGTCCCGAGTGCTTTGTCCTGTGCCCTGCCTGCACTTTTACCGTTCTTTCTGCCTGGAAACTTGAGAATGTCCATGGCATCCAAAAGGAGCCCCTTTAGGTCAAAAGTGGTTTTAGACCAGCTGGAAAACACAGATAGTGAATTAGAATCACTTGCAGAATTGAGCGATAGAGATTCGTGGGGAAATTCGTCATCAGACACTGAAAGTGATGATGATTCTGCGACTGAGCTCAGTGATGTGCGAACTTGGTGCACTATTTCAAATTTCAGTGTTTTTGGTTTGATTACATTATTGAATTAAATATATTATTATATTATTATTTATAAGTACTTATTGTATTATAATTTATGATTTTGTGTTTCAAACTTTACCATACCCGTGATGTTTACTAGACTCTTGTTTGGACAGATTTAAGTGAGTTATTCCTAAGAATTACAGACCTACAATATAAAACAACAAATTTCCATGCAAAACAATGTACCACTTTGACATTCAAAAATATTGACATAATCAGACTGCCAGGGAGGTTAAAGCCTGACCTGTACCTTAGATACAACAACATCTTAGTGAGTTCTTCACACAAGCAAAAAATTACTGTATTTTTGCTCTATAAGATGCACTTCCCCCCCAAAATGGGGGGGGAAATTTCTGTACATCTTATGGAGCAAATATGGAGCGGCCGGCCAGGTATTCCCCCCATCGCAACTGTGTTAGAATACTGGGCCGGCCGCTCGGCTCTTCTGTGCAGCAGAACCTGCTCCTCGGTCTTACCTGTTCCTCGGTCCAGCGGTGCCCTCATCACCTCATCATCTTTAGTGTGGGCAGCAGGCTGTGACAGCTTGTGGCTTCACAGCCGGGTGCCCACTGCACATGCTTGAGAAGCGCTGCACTTTGTGAAAGCCCCGTAGTCCTCTGGGACCTGTCACGTGTCCCAGAAGATTGCAACGGAAGTGGGAGCGGGTACCTGTCAAATTTGGGTGCTCGCCCCCCCCGCTCCCCAAAGGTCCGCAGTCTCTGTTAATCTCCTGCAGTATGTCCGCAGTCTCTGGTCATCTCCTGTACTATGTCCGCAGTCTATGGTCATCTCCTGTACTGTGTCTTCAGTCTCTAGTCATCTCCTGTACTGTCTTCAGTCTCTGGCCATCTCCTGTAGTATGTCTGCAGTCTCTGGTCATCTCCTGTACTATGTCTGCAGTCTCTGGTCATCTCCTGTACGGTGTCCGCAGTCTCTGGTCATCTCCTGTACTGTGTCCGCAGTCTCTGGTCATCTCCTGTACTGTGTCCGCAGTCTCTGGTCATCTCCTGTAGTGTGTCCGCAGTCTCTGGTCATCTCCTGTAGTATGTCTGCAGTCTCTGGTCATCTCCTGTAGTATGTCTGCAGTCTCTGGTCATCTCCTGTAGTATGTCTGCAGTCTCTGGTCATCTCCTGTACTGTGTCCGCAGTCACTGGTCATCTACTGTACTATGTCTGCAGTCTCTGGTCATCACCTGTAGTACATCCACAGTCTCTGGTTATCTCCTGTACTATGTCCGCAGTCTCTGATCATCACCTGTAGTACATCCGCAGTCTCTGGTCATCTCCTGTACTATGTCTGCAGTCTCTGGTCATCCCCTGTACTGTGTTTGCAGTCTCTGGTCATCTCCTGTACTGTGTTTGCAGTCTCTGGTCATCTACTGTACTATGTCCGAGTCTCTGGTCATCACCTGTAGTACATCCACAGTCTCTGGTCATCTCCTGTAGTACATCCGCAGTCTCTGATCATTTCCTGTATTAGGTCTGCAGTCCATTGGTTCGGAATATTTTTTTCTCCTCTAAACCTAGGTGCGTCTTATGGAGCGAAAAATACAGTACATTTTTGGGGGAGTTCTGTAAACCAACCGTGTACAGAACGCCTCCAGGAGCCATATTGCACTGACTTTATAGAAAATTACAGTTTGAAAAGGAAAGGCAATTTTAATAACATTAAATTACAATATGCTTTGTGCAGCAATTGTTCATGCTATAATATTTTTTTTTTTAATTGCTATATTTGTTTTTTCACCGAAAGTGAAGTTACCCTTTAAATACAACCAGTACAAGATACAATGTGATGCTGACATGGTTTATTGTAGAGGAAATCTAATAAGGTGCTGGACACTGACTGACTGGACTCTTGAGATGTGGAATGAATTCCAGCATGTCATTACCATCTAGAGTGACAGATGGTTAAACAGAGGAACGTCTTTGATGTCCTTTTGTATGAGAAACAAGGTTTTAAAGGAGAGGCACAGAAGTGAACAAAGTTAAAATGAAAGAAACAGAAAGCAATGCACTTGTGAAGAACCCAACTTTTGTTTTGTGTGTTGTAGTTTATTGAACAGAAAGCCAGGTTCAGGTAAAGTATATGTAAACCCATCACTGAAATCTGCTATAAGTTGTAACATGTTAATGTCATTTTAAGTGCATGGTACGAAAACATGCCATGTAGTTATTGTTGGAGCACATGCATGTACACAGGAAGTGGATACAAAGAAGCTGCAGTAAGGCTAGGTGCACACCTATGCAGGTTGCATTTGAGCTGTTTCTACATTGTGCTTTGTGTTGCATTTTGCGTTTTTTTGCACCTGAGGTTTTGACATTTTTTTTATGTGTTTTTTTTCCATATTTCTTAATTTTTCTTGTTGCTAGGTAGATTTAAAAACGCATAAAAACTGAAGCAAAATGCAGCAAAAACGCAATACATTCTTTTCTGCAGCATTTCCATTGAAATCTCTAGAACCAAAAATGCAACTTTTTTGCACTCAAAAAAGTCCCTGACCCTTTTCAAAAAGCGCACCAGATGAAAACGCGCAGATGTGAACATGTCCCATAGGAAATCATGTTAAATGGACTGCACTGCGTTACTGCAAAATGCAAAAACGCTGTGGAAAACGCTTAGGTGTGAACCTAGGGTAAATCAACAGCACTGAGATATCACAAAGGATAAAAAGGTAAAAAAATTTAAAAAAAAAAAAAAAAAAAAGACAACTGTTTGCAATACACGGGGTTTTAGCAAACCAATAATAATTCAGTTAGAGTTTAGATGTTGTTCTGGGCGATTTTATAGATAGGCAACTCCAATCCTCATATTGATTAGTGGTTCCAAATTAATAATAACTACTGCAGTAGTGAACAGACACAAAAAGATACACTCAGCATCTTTCCAAATCATTGTTCTGTTTATTCGGTTCATTTGAAGTTTTTTTTATACACATGGGTACGTAGGTACTGTATCACTTTAATATTACAATTGTAGTTTTATGGTGACAAGAGGTGTTACATAGGCAGGCTAATTTCTAATCAGGACTTGAAGGAATGCAAACGTAATCAAAACATTATTAGTGCCGTGTGCACAATGAGTGCAGTGTACAATACATAGGCAAAGCATACAAAATAGTAATGGAAATTTGTAAATTCTGTATAAAAAATTGTTTTCTATGTACAGTTTCTCAGGCCTATAGCAAATGAAGCTTGGCACAGATGGAACATTTTAACCACTTTTCTCCAGAGGATTTACCCCCCTTCCTGACCAGGCCATATTTTGCGATACAGAGCTGTGTTACTTTAACCACTTGCCTACCAGGCACTTATACCCCCTTATTTACCAGGCCAATTCTCAGCTTTCAGCTCTGCCGCACTTTGATTGACAATTGCGCGGTCATGCAACATTGTACCCATATGAAATTTTGATTATTTTTTTCTCACAAATAGAGCTTTCTTTTGGTGGTATTTAATCGCCACTGGGCGCTTTACTTTTTGCGCTATAAATAAAAAAGGTGCAAAAAATTTGAAAAAAAAAAAAAAAGTTTCTTTCTTTCTATTATAAAATTTTTCAAACAGGTAATTTTTCTCCTTCACTGATGTGCGTTGATGAGGCAGCACTGATGGGCACTGATAGGCGGCACTGATGGGCACTGATAGGCAGCACTAAAGGGCACTGATAGGCAGTACTAATGAGGTGGCACGGATAGGCGGCACTGATAGACAGCACTAATGAGGTGTCACGGATAGGCGGCACTAATATGCAGCACTGATAGGTGACACTGATTATGGGTACTGATAAACGGCACTGACGGGCACTGACTGGCGGCACTGACTGGCACAACCGCTGGGCACTGACTGGTGGCACTGACTGGCAGCACTGCTGGGCTGCACTGGTGGGTGGCACTGGTGGGCAGCACTGGTGGGTGGGCACAGGTGGGTGGCACTGGTGGGCACAGGTGGGTGGCACTGGTGGGCACAGGTGGGTGGCACTGCTGGGCACAGTTCGGTGGCACTTCTGGGCACAGGTGTGTGACACTGCAGAGTGGCACAGGTGGATGCACTGCTGGGCACAGGTGGGTGATCTGCTGGGCACAGGTGGGCGGAGTTAGTGGGCGCACTGCTGGGCACAGGTGGGCGGAACTTGCGGGTGGCACTGCTGGGCACCGATCATCAGGGCACTGATCATCAGTGCCCTGCTGATCGGTGCCGATCCCCGCTCTGACAACTGCTGGTTCTCGGCAGTACTTTCCTCACGATCTGACAGCGTGAGGAAAGTGCAGCCGAGAACCGGCACTTGCATTTCCCTCTGATCAGCGTGTCATTGGACACCGCTGATCAGGTGGTAAAAGGCCGCTGTGATTGGCCTTTTACCACATCACGTGATCAGCTGTGTCCGTAGGACACAGCGATCACGGAGATCGCCGGGTGCGCGCCCCCTGGGGCGCGCAGGAGAGCGCGTTCTGGTGGGACGTCATATGACGTCCACCCAGAACTGGCCGGCCGCAGTGCAGCCGTCATTCGGCTATCTGCGGTCGGCTACTAGTTAACTGACAATTGCGCGGTCATGCAACGCTGTACATACATTAAATTTATGTACTTTTTTACCATAAATAGAGCTTTCTTTTTGTGGTATTTGATCACCTCTTCATTTTTTATTTGTCAATTTATAAACAAATAGCGCCAATTTTGAAAAAAAAAAAAAACAATATTTTTGGCTTTTTGCTATATAACATATCCAGTAAAAAAATTAAAAAAAACTATTTCTTCATAAATTTAGGCCAAAATGTATTCTGCTGCATCTTTGCTAAAAAAACAAATTCCCAATACATGTAAATTAATTGGTTTACATTAAAGTTATAGTGACTACAAATGGCGGTATATATACTGGAATTTTTATTTTTATTTTTTTGATACTAGTAATGGTGGCAATTAGCAACTTATAGCGGGACTGGGGGACTGTGGCAGGCATTCTGACACTGAGTGGGAACTGACTAACTGCCACTGACATCCTAGTGAAACTATTACAGTGATCAGTGCTAATAAAAAGCACTGACACTGCATTAATGACAGGAAGGGGTTAACATCTGGGGCAATCAAAGGGAAACCTTTTGAGCGGTAGCTTTTTGGGCAATCAACAGCTTTGCTGATTTTTTGTTCTTATTGTTGAGGGCTTTTGTCATTCTTTTTATTTTGTGGTTGATTTGAGGTCAGTGGTCACTTTTATCTGCTCTCCTATTCATAGAAAACTTATTTGTGTGCTACAAGGCATCCCTTTACAAAAATTAAATTTAGTTTTTTGAGATTTTCAGTTATTTGGGAAGGAGGAGGGTAAATTGTTTTATTTGATGTTGATAGGGTCTTTATTTTAATTTATACAGCTTTTACAAAATAAGTGAGTTTTTGTTTCAGGATTATTAGTAATATTTTTAGAATTGTCACTTCTTTATATTTTTTTTACTTTCAATAGATTTCACTTCTTTATAATTTTTATTTCATGTTGATAGGGTTAGGGTTTTTTAGAGGTGTTGAAAGGGGAATATTCACTTTTTGCTGTCCAATTTTTCTTTAAGTTGCCTTTTGTTCACAGAATTTTGCTGGATTATTTGAAAGAGAAATCTATCCCCAAAGATAAAAGTTAGGCATACACTAGTTAGCCTTATTAATGCTGATTAAACTGTCATGCTGCTGGCCAATTTTACACTGCTGTATCCTCTGCAGTATATAACGTGATAGTGGAGGTTTGTGTTTTGTTCTTTTACAATAACAAACATGTCATACTCAACTGCTCTGTGCAGTGGTTTTGCACAGAGCAGCCTCAATCCTCATCTTCTCGGGGTCCCCCACCAGCACTGTTTGCTCCTCCTCTATAGCCTGTGTCCCCACAGCACAGCAACCTGTTTGCTCTGGGGACACTGATGCGTGCTCGGCTCCACCCCCAATCTCTCCTCATTGGCTCACTGGTGTGATTGACAGCAGCAGGAGCCAATATCTCAGCCAACAAGAAATGAGACACCGGGTAGAATATCTGCTCTCGTGCACAGCATTGGACCAAGAGGGGGCTCAGGTTAGTATTAGGGGGGGCGCTGCAAACAGAATTTTT